TTCTCATTGAAGTAATGATTTAATTCATGGTTAAGTTTATAAAATGCTTAGGTTCATATAAATCACAAAAACTTAAGACTTTCTTTAAATGTCTGTTACCCTTATTTGAATGTGAGCTTCTCAAAGGCAAGGATTGTAGCTAACTCTTTTCATTTGTATGTCCCCAGCATCTAACTGTCTAGAATAAATAAGCACCCAATAACTGTTTATAAGATGCCCAACCAACAATATATCGCAAAGGCAAAACTACAGCTGTAAACCTCTATAATAAAATAAAATAGAAAACATTCTCCAAGTACTATAAAATAAGCATAATGTTTTTACACCAATAAAAGAAGCTGCAATGCGCTATAAAACGTACACAGAACAGAAACAATTATTGTTAAATTTAACCTAAAACCCTAGTAGGTATCAGAATAACTTTGATGATTAAAGTAGGATTAACATTGAAAGGTGAAATAGAAAGGATAAAGAAGCAATTTCAAAATCTAAAAAACTCAAGTAAGGAATTAAATAAGAAAGATCATCTGAAGAAGAAATACTAATATTATATCTAATATTTAATATTGTAGGACCAGTATTTAGTCTTCTGCTAAAATATTGAATCATTTGGATGGTTTTAGTTCATAAGAAGAGCTCATGATTGATTGAACAGAAACTCAGATCTTTTTCATGGCTCATGGTTTTTCACAAAACCAAACTCCCTCCATAATTATTTGGTATTAATCAAGATATGATATTAAAACCAAATATTTTGATAGACTGAACTATCCTTATACCCTTAGAGAACAACCCTTTTCCTTCTTTGCAAGAGCATTTTCTGATACTTGATATTTTCTAGCCCGTTCAGCCTGTCTGCCTTTTAGTAAAATGAAGTACAAAATCAAATTATAGACATTGTGTAAGCTCCAGAACTTAACACACTCTACGCAATTAACATCTGACTTATTAAGAAAGCTTAGGCAGCTCTAAGTAGCAATGGCAATCCTAGGTGATTATAACTGTTGAAGAAGTTCATTGTAATCTAAACCCAACGATTAGCACAAAGGCAAGGTAACCCTCAGCACTCCGTGGAACTCGGATTCCTGGAGGTTGTGCAGATGGGATGATAAGTGTCACTTTCTCTGTAAAAATTTTAAATAGTTTAGGTTCTGCAATGTAATATTCAAAGAACAGTATAAAACTGTTCTTTTGCTACCAATAAATATTTGAAAATAAAATGAAAGCACAGGGCAGGAAGAAAGATATTAGGAAATAGGGAGGCAAAGGATAGAAGAAAATATTGTGGTGTAGTTCCCCAAGCCAGGGAACCGGGCTCGGTTCTCACCTCTTTAGATTCTTACTGAGGCCATAAGGAAGGAAAGAACTTTGAGACTGGGAGACTCACCTTCACTTCCCATGAGGCACAGATTCCTGAACTACTGAAGGTCTACTCCTTCTCGTTCCACCACGATGTCATAAAGAGTGATGACTGATTACGAATACTTCTATTTACCTTTCAGAGTTTATTGCCGTTCAATTCAGCAATCTCTTCTGTGAGGCTCCTGTGAGTAAAGTACGGTGTAGAGGGTGGTGAGTGACACAAAGATGAATTTAACCACATGGCTTCCATGTTCAGGGTGGTTTGGGGTAGGCAGAAAGAACAGGGACTTCCCTCTCAGCACCACCACTACTAAATTGGGCAACTTTGGGCAAGTTGCCTGCCCGTGTGAGCATCTAGTTTCCCATGTCTGAAATGCAAATAACAATATGGACTTTCTCAGGGGTGTGTGAGGATTAGAATGGGCATATGTAAAGCACCCAGTGTAGGACCTGGCATAGAATATGTGCTCATGATACTGTGTTTCCCTTCCCTCTCTTCTCGAGAGTTTATAGCTATTGAGAGAGGCACGCATGAAAACTAACTCAAGTACAAAGTAAACCACTGTAAAAACTAAAAGGGAAGTTATAGTCTCTGAGAGGAAAGAGATACTGTTTACAAAAGGGAGAATCAGGAAAGATTCTATGTAAGAGGTGACTTTGAATCTGGGCTGTGAGAGGTGGCTTCAGAAGGAGTATGGCATGTGGGAAACGGCACATCATCTGATGTGATCCTAGCACTTCTGATTGTCTATGTGGGGGCCACAGTCTGGCGGGAAGGGAGAGCAGGTGCAGTGCTGGGGGAGGTTGTGGGTGAAGAGACTAAAGCCTGCCTCCCATCCCACCCCAGCACTGACTTGGAACATGACAGGTGTATAGGATATTTGGACAGATGTATGTGTGTAATGAAAATGCAAAAACCTGTTGGGAACAGATTGTGTGGGACCTGAAATGCCTCGGAGTTTGAACTTGATTGCACAGATGATGAGGACCGCTGAAGGTGTTTGAACAAGAGATTGATGTGTTATGACCTGTGTGTGTTTTTTACACTCTGTAGAACAGTGTGAAGGAGTGAGGGGAGAATGATAGAAGCTTGAACTCATTGCAACACTCAAACACATCCACAGATTCATCACACAGCATCTAGAGGCTGCCAGTGATGGAGATAAAAATAGCCATAACAAAAAGAATAATAAACACTTGTATAGCATTTCCCGTGTCCCAGACGTTATTCTAAGCACTTGACCTATATCAACCCTTTTAGTCCTCGCTATAACCATATGAAGTAGGTGCTATTATTACCCTCCTTTTACAGCTGAGGAAACTGAGGGTTAAGTGACTTGCCCAAGGTCACGACCACGCTGGGTTTTGAACTCATTTAGTTGGCTCTAGAAGTCGGGCTAGCAACCACCACCCCAGAGTGCCTCTACAGCAATGCCTGGGGTTCCCTGGTGGATTGGTGCCATAGGTATGGGGACAGGACACAGAAAGGAAGCAAGGAAAATCAAGAAGTAAAAAGAGAGGAGATCCACTTATCTGTGGGATATAAAAATAAAAACAGTTGCACTTGTGGACATGGAGAGTAGAAGAATGGTTAACGGAGGCTCGGAAGGGTGGGGGATTGGGTGTGGGGGTTAACGGAGGCTGGGAAGGGTGGGGGATTGGGTGTGGGGGTTGGGTGGGGAGGTGGGGGAAGGTTAATGGGTATTAAAAAAAGTTATAAATAATGAATAAGACCTATTTGATAGCACAACAAGGTGACTACAGTCAATAAGTTAATTGTACATTTAAAAATAACTAAGAGTATAACTGGATTGTTTGTAACACAAAAGGTAAATGCTTGAGGATGGACACCCCATTCTCTATGATGGGATTATTTCACATTGCATGCCTGTATCAAAACATCTCATGTACCTCATAAATATATACACCTACTGTGCACCCACAAAAGATAAAAAAAATTTAAAAAAGAGAGGTGATCAAATAGAAAGCACCAGAGAAAATAACCAATTACTCATAATAAGAAACACCTGAGGTCCTGTAGTAATACTCTCAGATGCCACCCAGTGCTACCCTTGCCATAAACTCTATATCCTTATAGCAGGAAGCTTAGATTTTCTGAAATTGAGTTCCTCATCTAAGGGAAGATTTAAGGAATGACAACTCTAAGAACTGTTGTGATGGAAGTAAATAATCAGAAGCAGCTCGGTCTGCCAGATACATTACGCAACACTTTACTTTGAAAAACTAGCAGTTTAAAGAAGTGAAATGGACCATGAAAATAATTAAATGGGCTGGGTTTCCTATTTAGGAAGAATTCTCTACATTATTTAAAGTATTTCGCCATCAGATCCAGCTTCTCTCTTACTATTCACTTCTGAAACAAACTATTTCCTGTTTCCAAATCAACCCTCACTTCCCACAATGTCTGCATCCCAAATTATATTTTCAAGACACAGAATTTATCCTGAGTTTGCCTTTTCAAATGCACTCTCCACCCTTCTTCAGTTCGCTCTATCCCTGGGTGCTTTACAAATGCCTAGGAGTTCGAACTCCGAGGCATTTCAGGTCCCACACAATCTGTTCCCAACAGGTTTTTGCATTTTCATTACACACATACATCTGTCCAAATATCCTATACACCTGTCATGTTCCACGTCAGTGCTGGGGTGGGTTGACAGTCACCCTGAGTGCCTGAGCCCAGCAGGGATACTCTATGAATGGTAAAAGAAGGGCTGAATAGAAAGGACACAAGTTCATGTCCTGGGTCAAGAGCCCTCGACTCCCATTTCTGGCTCTGTTTGTGTTCATCCCTTGAGGGTCTGGTAGGCAATGAGATGGGAGGGGATGTAAGGTCAGGATACGTTTTCCCCATTGTCTTTCCTGGGAGACCACCTGGGTTGCTGTCTCCCCTGGCTACATCTCCTTGCTTTCTATAAGGCAGGCTTCTCTTCGGCCCCTCCTTGTGGGTTTCAAAACCATGCCTTCCCCATGACTCTTTGGTGGCAGCACTAATGTTACCAGCTGGGCTACTGCATCATCTTCTGTAGTTCCTCCACCACTCCCATCCTTTTAAAATAGACGCTGTGTTAATCTATCCTGAATTATCCTAAGGCGAGTGAGGGTCCCATCCCTTTCCTTTTGGGTCTCTGATATATTTTTCCACTATGATGCCCTCTCTCCTCTGAATTCTCACAAAACTCAATTTTTATCCCTTTGAAGGCACTGATCTTTTGAAAATGACAATATTTGCATACATATTTTAAGCCTGTTCCTTACAGCAAATCTCCATGTTTGAGGACAAAGGCTGGATTTTATTCATTTGCAGTCACCCTAACGAGTGCCTGAGCCCAGCAGGATCCTCAATGAATGTTAAAAGGAGGGCTGAATGGCAAGGACACAAACAAGAATGTTTTTTCAGCATTTAACTTGCCCTTATGCTTGCTAATCTAATACTGTCATTTTAACATTAAAACTAATGTTTTTCACATTAGGGAGTCAAAGTCTACTTCACTTCTAGATCATGAAATTGCAGTGCTGGGTCTGAGCTGTCTGCGGACCTAGAACTCCCATCTCCTCTCCTCCCCTTCTCACACTAGTCAGAAATATGCTCTGATGATGTGCCTCTCTGTGTGTTTCAGGCCTTTCTCTGTAGAACCAGCTGTTGGAACTCTTAATGTGGGAGAGTCCATGCAACTGGAAGTGGAGTTTGAGCCACAGAGTGTGGGCGATCACAGTGGAAGACTTATCGTGTGTTATGACACAGGTATGCATTAATCTTTGTTAAAAGTTCTGCATGTTAAGAAACGTCAGGTGGGTATGTTCTCAATCCTAAGAGGAAGCCAAGCTATGAGGATGCAAAGGCATAAGAGTGATACAATGGATTTTGCAGACTTGGGGAAGATGGTGAGAGGAGAGTGAGGGATATAAGACTGCACATTGGGTACTGTGTATACTGTCTGCACTCTGATGGGTACACCAGAATCTCAGAGATCACCACTAAAGGACTTATTCATGTAACCAAACACTACCTGTTCCTCCAAAAAACTATTCAAATTAAGAATAAAATAATAATAAAATTTTAAAAAATATAAAAAGAAAGGTCAGATGGGAAATATGATAAAGCTGAATAGGAAATGGTTATTTTGGCTGCATTCTAAGCTAAGATCCACAAGATAAAAAACCAATGAATGCCTCTAGTAGAAATGATGTGACGTCAGATAGAAATCTCACCTACCTGGTGTCCCCAGTGCTTAAAAGCCTGAGGAATACAGGGCTCAGGAAGGAACCCATCCCCAGAAGCCACACTGGTGGATTGAGGTTGTCTGTATATTAAAATTTGTAGGTAATTTAATGCCCCATGGGTTTTCAATTTGATTTATTGTGATATTTGTCTAGCATTTTAAAAATGTAAACCCCAATTCAGAATGTTCTTGTCCCACTAGTCTACGTGAGATCCAGTTACTTTAACCCTTAGAACATGCAGATACCTTATGTAACATCTTACACGAATATAGGACTCTGTTGCCACTAGCATTTTCTTGAAGGCCACACCCTCCATAATCATGAAAATTACACATTGTTGTTGCAAATAGTCAATTTATGGTCATGTAGATGGCATGTACATTATGCAGTCTCCAACACTGGCTTTCAGATTAATATTTTACTTTGCTGTTTATTATTTTATGATTTTTCTCATTTCCTTCTCCCTTTTGTTTTACTCATTCATGTTGATTGACCCAGATTATCTGCAGAAGGGCATTGTAGGGAGAAAACAGAAGCACACAGCCGGGGAAAGAGTAAGCTAAGTAAGCTGCAAGATAAAGAACCCGTAGAAATGATATGAAGTCAGATAGAGATGCTTGAAAGCCTGAGGAATATGGGGCTCAGGAAATAACCCATCCCCAGAAGTCACACTGGTAGATTGAAGTTAGCTGTATATAGATAGAAACTTGAAGGTACACCCAGAGAAGGAGCAGCACAAGACATTTAGGGTACAGTTCAGAGTTGCTGACTTTGTGGAAGGTATCTGAGCAGGATGACTCAAGCCCTTGCCTTAGGACCCATGGTTAAGTGGCCCGGGCTCCACATTGCCCAGCAGAACAACACACAGCCAATGAAGTGGTCTATCTGTTTTATCTATTAGTGTTAGCTACACTTCACTGGCTTTTAGCAAGAGAAGCTAGCTTAAGCAAAAGGGAGAACGTTTGACCCATGTAACCAAAGGGTAGAACGGTCTGTTTAAAAAAGCATAGCTCATAACACATTGGGACATCAGTTTTCCAAGGTAGTTGTGTCATTTCGCATTCCAACCAGCAAGGCATGAGAGTTCTAGTTGCTCCACATCCTCAACTAACACATAGCGCTGTTTTGGTAATTTTGGATATACTAGTGGTATAAAGTGATGTCTAACAGGTTTTAATTTTCATTTCCCTAATGATTAATAATGTTGGGTGCCTTTTCAGGAGCTTCCTGGACATTCCTGTATCTTTTTTAAGTGTCTGCTCATGACCTTTCTTTGCTTATTCTTTTGTTATTAATTTGTGAGTATCTTTTATTAGTATTCTAAATACTAGTCATTTGTCAGATATATGTATTGTTAATATTTTCTCCAAGTCTGTAGCTTGCCTTCATTTCTGTGATAATATTTCTTAATAAGTAGCGATTTTGAATTTTGATGAAATCCATGTTATCAATTTTCTTTTCTTTTAAGATTAACTCTTTTTACCTCCATCCTAGGAAATCTTTGCCTTCTCCAAGATCATGAATATATTTTCCCATGTTTACTTATGGAAATGTTCTAGTTTTAGCTCTGGGTTTAGGTTAATTCCCCATCTTTGATATAATATTTGTGTATGTGTGATGTAGAGGCTGTGTGTCATTTTTCCCCCATATACATTATTTGCTCTTTTCCATCTTGTTTTGGAATACAGAATAGTTACTCTATTTTTCCATTATTTAGTGTTATTAGGCTGTTATTCATTCCTTTTTTCCTCTATGTTTTTAATTTCTTTTTCTTTGTAGACTGATCTAGATTACTTTCTTCTTATTCATTGTTCCATTCAATAATCCCCTCTGCAGTGAAGTTTCACCTGCTGAGTTTTAATTTTTTAATTATTATGATCATTTTTATTTCTGGAAGTTTTATTTGGTTCTTATCAAATCTGACTTCTCTTCCTCCCTTCCTTTTTTTTCCAGTTTTTTTGATTTCTTAAATATATTAACTGTGGTTATTAATATTTTATATCTGATAATGCAAATAAATTAAGTCTGCTGTTTAGTATGCTGTTTATTGTTTCTGCTGGTTTCCAACCAGGGTATCTTATGTCATTTTGTGTTTTGTAATTTTTGGATTAGGAGTTCCAACTCTGGGCAGGCCCTGGACTTTATCGGATGTCCTAGGCACATAATGCAATCTTTAAAGCAAAAGTTCGAAGGTTCACAAAAGCCATTAGGGCACAGGCCAGCCTTGGCACTAGACTATTTCTTGGTATGTCTGTCTTCACTTTGATGTCCTCATTGTCCTGTCAGGTTAGTGATGAATTTAAAAGCAATTGTAAAAGTACTTTCTCAGCTGAGTGCAGTGGCTCATGCCTGTAATTCCAACATTTTAAGAGGCAACAGCAGGAGTATTGCTTGAGCCCAGAGGTTTGAGATCAGCCTGGGAAACACAGCCAGACTTCGTCTCTACAAAAATAAACAAAAATTACCTGGGTATGGTGGCACATGCCTATAGTCCCAGCTACTTGGGAAGCTGAGGTGAGAGGATTGCTTGAGCCTGGGAGTCGAGACTGTGGTGATTCTGCCCACTGTACTCCAGCCTGGGTAACAGAGTGAGAGTCTGTCTCAATCAGTCAATCAATCAATCAAGTAAATAAAAATATTTTCTCAAATATTTCGATGAAGTCCCTAGTTTCACTGACTGCCTGAAAGTGACTCCAGTTTATGCCTTTTTTTCACATTGGTCATTATTATTTATAGACCAGCTCCTTCTTTCCTACTACTTTATAGACCTTTCTCTACATCATGATATAAACGTTTTTATCCTTCCATGCATTTGGTTTTCTTTATTTCTCTCATCAGTAGTTTTCTGTGTAGAAGTCTTGAATATTTTCATTAGATCTAATCCTATTCAAGTCCCTTCTTCACTTGTTCTTTTATTATTAATTTGTAAGCATTCAGTGGTTTTTTATGTTAGTATAAGTAGTTTTTCATAATTTTATTGAGATATAATTTAAATGTAAGACGCACAGAGTGTAAATATACAGTTTGATAAGATTTGACAAGTGTAACTAGCTATGTACCCACTGCCCAATTCAAGAGACAGAACATCTACTGCCTTATGCTGATTCCCAGGCAACCCCTCCATCCCATACCCAGAGGTTCTGATTTCTATCACCCTCTATCACCTCTATATACTCTTTTGTGTCTTGTTTCTTTCATTCAACATAATGTTTTTCAGATTTATCCACGTCCTTGTGTCTGGCAGTAATTCCCTTTTTATTGCTAAGAAGCATTCTACTATATGGTTGTACATAATTTATTCATTCTTTTATAATGTAAATTTGGATTTTTGAAGTTTTGGGCTATTATGAATATAGGTTTAACCATTCTTGTACACATCATATGTGTGTGCATTTATGTGTACGTGTGCAGATACACATGTTTAATTTCTCTTGGGTAAATATTTAAAAGTAGAATTGCTGAATCATAGAGTCATCATATGCTTAACTTGGTAAGAAATTTCCACATGGTTTTCTAAAGTGGTTGGACCATTTTATTTATATTCCCACCAGTAATGAATGTATGAAACTCCATAGTGTCATCAACTCTTGGTCATGTCATTCTTTTAATTTTAGCCATTCTACTTGGTATAAAGTGGCATCTTATTTTGGTTTTAATTTGCATTTTTTAACAACTAATGATGTTGAGTGTCTTTTCATGTGCTTTTGTCCATTTGATGTCTTTTTTTCTGAAGTACATGTTTAAGTCTTTTGCCTATTCTTTATGGGGTATTTTATCATTTTATTATTGACTTTAAAAAGTGAGGTAGTTTAAAAAAATACATTGTTTATATAAGTCTTTCAGAAATAATTATTGTAAACATTTTTTCATGGTCACTGGTGTTGCTTTTTTTTTTTTTTTTTTTTTTAATTTTTAGACGGAGTTTTGCTCTTGTTACCCAGGCTGGAGTGCAATGGCGCAATCTCGGCTCACTGCAACCTCTGCCTCCTGGGTTCAGGCAAAACTCCTGCCTCAGCCTCCTGAGTAGCTGGGATTACAGGCACGCGCCACCATGCCCAGCTAATTTTTTGTATTTTTAGTAGAGACAAGGTTTCACCATGTTGACCAGGATGGTCTCGATCTCTTGACCTTGTGATCCACCTGCCTCAGCCTCCCAAAGTGCTGGGATTACAGGCTTGATTGAGCCACCATGCCCAGCTAGATTGCCTTTTTAATTTTCTTGATGTCTTTTTATTACCAGAACAATTTAATTTTGATGAAGTACAATTTATCAATTTTAATTTTATAGCTAGTGTGGTATTTCTTCCTAAGCCTATTTTCTAAATTTGTGTGGCATTATTGAACTACAGTTGAATTTTGTAGGCTAAGCTTTTATCTACAGACCTTGCTAAATTTACTTCTGACTTATATGTAGATGATTTTGGATTTTGTGTATACACGATCAGGTCATTTGCAAATAATAATAGTTTTTATTTTTTGTCAAATCTTATGCTCTTCATTTCTTATTCTTTCTTCCATAGA